GAGCCTAGAGACAATTCTTCATCTACATGTCACAATCATAGAACAATTGTCACTAACTTTTCTTATGAAGTACGTGTTGCGGATTAGGACGGTAACTCATGTTTATTATTGTCTTATATTTGAAGTATTAAATCGATTATCCATTTAATGCCGAAAAGTCAATTGAAATGTCGCCACCATCACTCATATGTGCACATTTCCATTGATTTATTTTAAATTGTGGTGTCCAAATAAACTATGCAAACCCACAGATTGTTCACATATTTCTGTAAAATGCTATCTTGACAATTTTCATTATTTGTCGGGTTTCTGGTCGCTCCAGAAGCCACAATTATGGCCCGAACATCCCGAAATTACATGGACAAGGGTATCGGGTCAAAGAATAAGCATGCCTATTTTGATGAAGATTGGCCAATATTTAGAGGGTCAAATGGACCCTGACTTTTGTGTGAAAATTTACAAAATTTGTATTCTAGGGCGTATATATTTACCCCTGAAGGGCATAGACCCGAGAAGTTAGTAGTATATCAAAGAGGGGTGACTGACCTTTTAATTGATACAAATTATATTGTCGGATGTGGGAGGTACACTTAAATATTAACAGGTGCTTACGTATTTATATATTATTTAGTAACCCATCGCGCTGATCGCTTTTAAAATGTTCATGAGTTTCCAGTTATAGTCAAGGATAATGCCTATAATTAGTAAGATCGAAGACTTAATTTTGTGTGAGTTTTTTTTTTTTTTTTTTTTTTGAGTCGTTATATAGGCATCAACTATATCCGCAGAAAGTTAGAGTTCCGTGGTAGTGGTCCACTGTTTTATTTTAAAATAAGATCAAACAAGATAAAGCAAAATATGCCTAGTTTAAGTTATTTCAAAACGTGTATGAAAAATCTTTTTGATATTCGATAACTTAAATAAATTCACAATTTTGTTTAAAAAATGTATAATTTTAGTGTGTTTTCATAGTAAAATGTCAAAAACATCATATGCGTTCAGCATCTACGTAATCTCAGGGAATAGAAACATAAATAAAATAATGGAAAATAGATTCGCCATCATACGTTCCCCTTTCCACCGATATCATAATGAGTCTTTGCGTGAGCTGACGGTGGACGTTAGACTGTTTATAATGTATGACACCACATACATATCTGGACTTTTCGGCGTTGGCATGTCCTGATTTACATGGCCCGGAAAAGATGTGTAATTTTTATAAAATCTAAAGAGAATATATATGTGAGTTATATCTAAATCTGAACACATTCTACAAAACTTATACACCTTATTTTAAACTCAATTCCATACGACATACTAAATTGAGTCGCAATCGCACAAGGCATGAACATTTGGTCCACAATTTACATAAAATCGGACGAAAATATATAAGGGAGCTATATTTAAATCTGAACCGATGTTACCAATTTACATTCTACTGGGTTCATCCTTGGGCAAAATTGATGAGCTTTGCCAGATGTCATATTATTCGGACAATAAGTGCGACCTTTACTTTTTTACACTTTAACATACACAGATAGGGGGACTGACGAATGGAGATACATAAATTGACACAGAAAGTGTTGCATATTCTCGTTATGCCTTTTACAAATATATGCATGAAGATGTAACACGATGTGGTGAAGGGTGTTGTAATAGGAAGGTGTTATTATATTGATATTAGACAGATACACTACGATAGAACAGTGACTATAATCGGACGATATAGTTACATGACATCTATTTCTTCGGAATATAACATCCTTTAAGATACACGTGCATGAATGGGCATGGTGTATCGGAAAGGACATGGAAATACTGCAATTCCTTACATTATGAAAGATATTCCTGACTATTCCTAAATAAAACAATATTAAGATAGTCTTGAAGTCTGTCTGCGAACTAAGTGTTTTAGCCACCAAGTAACCGGAATGCTATGTAATATTCACTACAATTGGCAAATAATTTACATTCTACTGGGTTCATCCTTGGGCAAAATTGATGAGCTTTGCCAGATGTCATATTATTCGGACAATAAGTGCGACCTTTACTTTTTTACACTTTAACATACACAGATAGGGGGACTGACGAATGGAGATACATAAATTGACACAGAAAGTGTTGCATATTCTCGTTATGCCTTTTACAAATATATGCATGAAGATGTAACACGATGTGGTAAAGGGTGTTGTAATAGGAAGGTGTTATTATATTGATATTAGACAGATACACTACGATAGAACAGTGACTATAATCGGACGATATAGTTACATGACATCTATTTCTTCGGAATATAACATCCTTTAAGATACACGTGCATGAATGGGCATGGTGTATCGGAAAGGACATGGAAATACTGCAATTCCTTACATTATGAAAGATATTCCTGACTATTCCTAAATAAAACAATATTAAGATAGTCTTGAAGTCTGTCTGCGAACTAAGTGTTTTAGCCACCAAGTAACCAGAATGCTATGTAATATTCACTACAATTGGCAAATAAGCTAACGACCATCAAAATGATTAACATGGTGCAATATTTGTATATGGGATTTATGTCAAAAATGTATATGAAGAAACTACAGTCACTTCATACGGACAGTGCAGATAGTACAACAGCTCTATACTTTAACCGCATTTTGTTGGTCATACACATTAGACAAACAATAACAAGTTAAGTGCAAAAATCTGAGGCTAAATATTCGTTCTGGCATTCGTATCATGTGTGTGTTAAAGTTAAGTCAAGCATTAAAGACGACGGACCAATTTGAAGTAACGAACGTTTTCCTATTGATTTTTGTAAAAGATAATAATGTTTTTCCATACACGTAAAATTGTTGCTATACTTTAAGTGGTCAATTCCTATTTACGTTGTCAAACCGTCAGATCTGTGGTTTTCGACACATATATTGTGGTGTTGTGGTTGTAATAAATAATTTAAAATATAGTTCTCCTTATAAAGGATGTTATAAAAATATATACACAACAATCCTATTGATCCACCTATTATATGTGTAAAATTTGGTAAAATTTTCAATGGATTATGCCGAAAAATTTGTAAATATTTAAATTCATAACTATGCAATGTTCAAATACACGAAAAATATGTCAGTGTTAAATTTCATAATTACGCGAGTTGCTTGCGTGTATGTATGTGACTTGCACAAATACAAGCTAGGCTTTAAATTTTTTAATTTTTAAACTCATTCGTTATCACAAATAAAATACCAGTAAGGAAAGTAGTATGATACCCTTCACCACTATGGGTATATTAACATGAAATTGGATGAACTAAAATATGTGATATTTATCTAAAAGTGAATCGACTTAGATCAATGTATAAGCATGTCATTCGTTTGTTACAATGGGACAAATGTATGTAAGTCGACTTCAAACAAATATCCATAGGACATCCATTGGGCTATGCCTGTACTTCTAGAAAACGCAACTACGTTATTCTTTGCTCAATTTTGTACGTTGTGCAAAATTTTATGTCAATCTGACAAAGATGAGGAGTTTGATGTACCATTTACTTAAAATAGGACGAACATATATATGGAATTTATATCCAAATATGAACCTATTTCAACGAAACGTGTCACAGGTTAGGTTATACGAATTTCAGTACAATTTGTTCCTATCAGCCATATATTGGTTCTTTGGTGCGCAAATTACTTGAAATAAATCTATAATATAAGGGAGCTATATCTAAATCTCAACCGATTTTCAGGAAAAATGGCACACATCATTTTGGATTAAATTTAGTACCCTATGCAATAACTTTAGTACATTAACTGCTTTAAATCGGACGAAAATATTTATATCAAGATCTGAACCAAATTTCACGGAACTCACCACACATCATTCTAAATCTGGATCGATTTTTACGAAACTTGGCAGACATCACTTTAGGCTCAATTCAGTACGTTATGCCAAATTTCGTGCAAATTGCACCTTTTACATAAAATCAGACGAAACTACATATGGGAGCTATATCTAAATCTGGACCGATTTTCACGAAACTTGGTAGATATCACTTTAGGCTCAATTCAATAGGTTATGCCAAATTTCGTACAAATCAAAAGATATATAGGGACTTTGGTGCACCTTTTGCACAAAATCTGACGAAACTATATATGGGAGCTATATCTAAATCTCTACCGATTTTCATGAAACTTGGCAGACATAATCGAAAGATATATAGGGACTTTGGTGCACCCTATATTTTAAATCGGACGAAAATATATATGGGAGCTATATCTAAATCTGAACCGATTTTTCCCAATTTCAATAGGGTTTGCCCTTGGGCCAAATAAATTAGCTGTGCCAAATTTCATCCAATTCGGATTATAAATGCGACCTGTACTTTTTTAACAATTTAACACCAACAGACGGACATACGGACGGACGGAAATGCATACATCGACTTAGAAAGTGATTCTATGCATATTTTCAAAAAGAACCATGGGTCTATCTCGTTTCCTTTTGCCTGTTACAAACATATGCACAAAGACATAATACCCTGTACCACAGTGTGGTGAAGGGTATAATAAGAGTGTGAAATTCCAATTTGTAATTTAGTGTATCTATTGAGATGAATGCTTTTTGAATTCTGTACATTTTGTCCTCTAGTACCCGTTTTCTAAGTCCCACTGCTCATCTCATTCTGTTGTACACACAATTGGATCAAAATATACGCCAGCCCAGGTATTATTTTCCATAAAAATTTAGGAGTCATGAAACGCTCAATACGCGATTTGACTAAAATGGACATTGTATTAGGAATGTTAGCCTTTAGTCAAAACAATTTCAAGTCTAGATGTCCTTGTCTAAACTTATAAGAAATTTATATGTAAATTAAAAATGCTCTTCCGTCAACCACAAAACCGCACCTAGTTGTGTACAAATTGTCTGCCCATGAGAATGTAAACATAAACAATGAAGCAAGAATATTCAGTTTTTGAAAGGACATCGGAGATTTCAAACCATTTTCTAACGTCATGATAATCGCCACTATCGAAGATGTACCATTGTACAATAATTCATTGCGCATTATGAAATTTTGGTCATTTCTTTTGCGTCATGATTGGCGGCGTTATTTTAGTTTAATTCCGTATATCATTTTGACGACGTCGCAGTTTGTGGATTTGTTTTTTAGTACCGAACCGATGGATGCCATTATACGAAATGCCTATTTGGCGGTGTTATTTTTCAACACCACGCTGCGTGGTATTGCTGTGTGTATTTATCGTTCGAAATATGAAGCATTTTTGGAAAGGATACGTATATTGTATATTGATATGATGGTAAGTATGTAGGATATACGATTTTGAGTGTTATTTTTGACATACAGACAGAAAGTGTAGTCATAAGACATTTTTGATGTTCCCTAATTTTTTTAATGAAAAAACCTTTGAGGAGAGGCCTAAGTCGGGTGGATCCGAAAATATTAATCCCTATACTGATCCGGATATACACATTGTGCTACCAACCCCGAGACACAAACTCTAGTTCTTCAGTAGCAGTGAACTGGGAAATTATTTTTTGGTGTTATTTATTTAGATTTTTATTTTATTTATTCTATTAGCAATCGGAAGACAAATGGGTGAGACAAGAATTAGAAGCGATTACTAAGGCCGCTAACAATATTTCTAGAGTGAATTTGGTTATGGGTACATGTTCGGTCATAAGTTTCTTGATATATCCCATATTTGCCACAACTAAAGGTAATTATTGTAAATAGCCATAGATCGAAGTATACTAATAAAATGTGGTTTTGCAGTTTTACCCTTTGGCATTTATGTACCCGGTGTGGATAAAAATGTGTCGCCATACTATGAAATCTGCTTCATAATACAGACGATAATGGCTCCGATTGGCTGTTGCATGTTTATACCGTTTACCAATATGATTGTGGCCATAATGTTGTTTGCAATATTAATGTGTCGTCGAATGCAAAGAAAATTGCGACATTTATGTGATGTGACTCGCGAGGAGGCAAAGGAGACGATTATTTGGTGCATACAATATCAAACACAATTAATAAGGTAAGTCTGCAAAAAGTGGAAATATGCTATGTTAATACTCTACAAATTTCTAGATATGTTAATACCATCAACGATTTGATTACCTATACAAATTTGTTGGAGTTTTTAGCTTTTGGAGCCATGCTTTGTGCCATGATGTTTACACTGGTCACGGTTTGTGTTGGCGTTGTAAATTATGAAGCTCTTAGTCTTTGTATCCCTCATCTCTTTATTCCAGGTCGAGACCGACAGTCAAAGGCTTTTAATTTGTGTTTATATTCTGATGATATTCGCCCAAAGCACAATTCTTTATTATTATGCCAATAAGGTGTTCGATGAGGGCTTGAATATTGCAACGGCAGCCTACGAAAGTGAATGGTTTGATGTTGATGTGGACACCCAGAATACTTTGCGTTTGTTAATACTTCGAGCCCAGAAACCATGTGCGGTAAGATTATATGATGAAAATTGAGCTTTGACAATAAATTAAACGTTAAACGTAGTGTGCATTATATTTTTCAATGCTGTCACACGTTTGTGCTCCACTAATGCAAGTACCTTTCCCTAAACGGCCAACATTTTGAATATGTATAAATATAATATAAAGCGTGTGATACAAGTTGTTCTTAATTCCCACTATATAATTTTATTAATTTTATTTTGATCGATCTTAATTTATTTCTAGATATTGGTTGGTCGGATTTATCCCATGAATTTGGAACTATTGCAATCATTGCTCAATACAACCTACACTTATTTTAACTTGCTGAGAAATGTATACGATTAAATTATTTATATTATTTTAGTATAATAAAATGCAATTGTATTTCCTAATATTGGATTTATAATATTAAAAATAAACATATTCATTTAACATCACCACTGCACTTTAAAGCACTGATATGAGAACTATTATATTATCTTTCATTTTTGTACTCACTCACTTCGTCGTCTGTACCAATGATGTTTTTTTGTGAATTTTCGGCTGACGATAGTTTCCACAGAACTTTGTCTTTCGAAAATGCAAAACAGACATTAAATGTGCAAATTACTTGTCACTCATAAGACAACCCAAAACTGACGTAGTTGACAAAGGTCTTATAATTTTTTGAGATCCTAGCCTCGGGATTTGGAAAGCGTTTGCGAATTTTCGCAGACTGGAAAAAAACTTCTTACTGCATAAATTTGCAAAAGTAATCAAAATTGTTTTGAAGGACAGACTACAAGACAATGAGATGAAGGAAATAAAATACTAGTTGTACTTTAAAAAAATGGTAGAAGGATTACTGCGATTACAATTTCCCATGAAACGTACTGAAATACAGAACTAAAATCTGGTTCTATTCGGTTCTGTATCGGTTTTTGTACTTGAAATAACGAAAGAGCTCACAATTTTTACTTGGTATTTGATTTTATATGGTATTTAAAATCGGATTTTGGGAATTCGGAATTGGGAATTTTTGAGGTTTTAGCCGCTTTTCTCACCGATGTGTCTGTAATTTGGCATTTCGTCTTCTGAACTATTACAATGAAGCAATCGTGCCAAAGAATAAGCTTGCTTGTTTTGATGAAGATCTGTCAATATTTAGCGGGTCAAACGGACACTGCTTTTGTGTGAAAAATGACAAAATTTGTATTCTATGGCGCATATATTTACTCCTAAAGGACATAGACCCCAGAAGTTGGTAGTATATCCAAGAGGAGAGGTTGACCTTTAAATTGATATCAATTTTATTGTCGTATGTTCTCGGATGTGGTTACTAAATAATATGTGAATACGTAATTCACATATTATTTAGTAACCCATTACCACACTAGAGGCGGAAATTTAACGCTGATCGAGGACAGCGGATATAATTTTCGGTAATGATTAGATAATAATTTTGGGATGAAGTGGATCGAAAACTTAATTTTTTGTATTTTTCGAATCGATTTATAGGCCGCAGTTATAAACCGAAAATTACCATACAACATGTACAAGTAATTAAAAGGGCTGAACTGAATATTAGACATATTCGGAAAATATGTCAGTGTATGGTAGAGGTGCTGTTGACCTCTAATCGTGCAAGAGGGTGCAAATGTCGCGAAATATTGCCCAGGCTCGAAATAAACTGAAACTGTTTAGATAGGCGCAAAACATTGATTATTGCATAACATTGGTTTGGTAAGCATTGCGCCAAAGACGCTATTTTCCAGGAAATGTCTATTCTTTAATCATTTTATTAAACAAATTTTTAAAATATCATGTAATATTTGAATTTTATAATTATTACGTGTTCAACGGTCCAAAAAATGAACATACCACAAATTTAAAATTCATTTTTTTCAACATACAATTTTTCTTCCATTTTTTACAAGACAGCGTACAAGCAATTACAAGTTGCTCTATGTACATGGAACATTAACAATTTATCCCACATTGTGTACAAGACTGAATGGCCCAATAAAGCGACGACTACATCTCAGAAGTCAGACAAGTAGACTAATATCCAACCGTTTGCCGTTACAAATGATGCAGTCAGACTATTCCGTTTTAATACAACAAGAATGATGAAGGCGAATATTGAAAGCAAGTCGAAAAAATTCGCAACGGAAGTCATGGGAAAAAAGACAAATTGTGAAAAAATACAATTTATGAGTTCCTTCGTTGAGAGAAATTACAAATGTCCAATGATACAAAGAAATGTGCCGCAATTGAGTTACGAATTCAGAGGTTTCCTTTCCGTTTGTGGGATTTCTGATTGTAGCTTTTACTAATTTCTCCCCAAAGGATAAATTGAAAATATTCTAATGACCGACAAAGGAATATTGTTTGAGGGCATTCGGCGTAAAAAGGTAAAGTAATGCCTTTTATATCACAAACAACATTTTTATGAAGTACTTCTTTATATTAACTGAACATAACATTATAACTAATTGTATGAACTTTATTTAGGGAGTAGTAGCAATGTATGTGATGAATGCAGAAGCTCTATCTGTTCTGCTGTTCATTTCGAAGTTTACAAATAGCATGAAAAATGTTATTCAGGCTCCATCGTATGTTAAAGGATATACAAATAACAAAGATCTTCACTATACGTATTTTATTAAGACGGAAAGTGTTACTAATTAAGAAACTAAATTAGGATATCCTTTATACCATGGAGGAGTGTGTTAAATGAGGCTTACCGTAATACAAAAAATTAACGAATGTGACAAAATCGTCTAAGGTGATATGCGATTTGTAGGCTTAATAATTATTATTCCAATGAGTTATAATCAGTGTGACAAAATTAATAGATTGGTGGATTTCGATATTTTTTTACGGGAGATTTGTTACACAATAGAAACCCAACATATAACATAAGAATGGTGCTATGGGAATTAAATTCATAACATTGATTGAGCGATGATCATGCTCCGTGGCATGTACATTCCAAACAACTGTAAACATTCAGGAAAATTTTTCTTGTTATTAGAAAAGGAATGAAATGGAAATATTTCAAATAAAATATATCATGTAGTTTCAATGGATTCCCATGTTAAGTAACTGAAGGACTGACTGTCTAAATAGTTGAAATGGCACAACGAATGACATTTCCATGCTATCAGAGGATGAAAAGGATTGAATAATCGTAACGTTCGTATCATGACAATGATAAGAACTTTAATGATACGATAAGAAAGTTTGACATTGCGTAAACGTAAGAATAATATATGGGTTGGATAGTTATTAAGGAAACATCGAAAAACAGTTTGAAAAGTTCAAAAGTTGGATAAGGCATGTAAGAGTGACATTTTAAATTGAACTCAGAAAGCGATTCTATGTATATCCTCAAAATTAACTATTGGTGTATCGCGTCTCCTTTTTCACAGAAAGAAAGAAGACGTAATTATTATATGACAATTTATTCTTATTGAGGAAATTTACGTTTCATTATTGCCTATCATTACTATTATGACTATCTGACTCATAAATATTATTTGGTATCACATCAATGTTTGAACTAGTAACGAAAATGTTTGTGATTTATCATGCCTTTGTGCATATATTTGTAACAGTCAAAACCAATAGATATAGACCAGCAGTGCCCAAAATAGGTCCCATGGGCTAATCGTAACCCTCGAATTTTAAATTTTAGAGTAGAAGGTTTTTTTTGTAAAAAATTCAGATCCAATAAAGCTATTAATTTGAAATTTAGAATAATAATTTTGTTTTCTAAGCAGTAATTTGTAGTAGATTTTTAGAAATATAACTGTTGTTTTTGGAGGCTTATGTTTTTTTCGGTGTCTTGCTGGCAAAAGGTTATTAAGAAGGATTATCTATACTAATAAAAAATAAAGTGATTGACTGACTTACTTAACGATTCATCAACGCCCTGACGAAACGGTTGAAGCTAGAATCTTGAAATTTTGGGTGAGGGTCACTCTTGGTCCAAAGGTGACCGATAAGGCTGGGTTTTTAGAAATTCGTACGGTACGAAAATTACTAAAAAGTACTAAATGTGATACCATTTGTATTTGGCGAACCGGGTTTGCTATAAGGAGGAAAAGTTTGGCCAATGTCGACGCCGTATACCTTCTTTTAATTGTTGAAACGTCAAAATCGGTGAAGACGTTCTTGAGTTATAAACGATTTAACTAACACAACATTCGATTATTCCAATTCTCAGACTTTTTGATGTTTTTCTCAACATTTTCTTCCTAAAAACCTTTCCAATGCAATTGCAAACAGCCGAAGGAAAACGTGAGTGAAATAGGTCCAGTCAATAAACCACGCAAATATTGTTCATATCATTAAAAATACGTTTGAGGAACCATAAAGGCACATATAAATTAGACACGAACAACATGTAATGCGGAATTGCCTCCATTTAGGATTCGAATTTAAATGTATTCTTCCCGAATATAAGAATATGTTCAATAATACCTTCGTATTTTGTTGATGTATTTGTAAAGTAGTAACCAAATATCCATTTAATTGCCTTTAATTAATTAATTAATTGCCGGTATAGTTTTTGGTTTAGGCTCTACATAATGGAACCGCTTAATCTTTACTCTACCATGTCTTACTGTGTTTTATTTGAGACAAAAATCACAACCTATACATACCATGCAAATTGCTTCACATAACTTATATTTTCAAAATAATTAATCTTGATTTTACGAAAAACGTGAGGAAATAATGATGAGAAAATAATAATAATAATTAAATTTAGCTGCAATGAAAATATATGTAAATTTATTTTCATATACAATAGTTTTTTCAATGCAATATTTTGAGATTTTTCCATAAATGACAATTACTTAAAGATATTATATGCTGCCAATTTTCGCCAAAAATATGTCCAAGAAGAACTACGAAGGGGTGAATTCATAAAGGTTCGATATGAAATGTTCTTTAATTAAAACCTTTCCACTTCAATTACAGACCTCTAACAGAAACTTTAAGTCAAATCGATCCAGCCGTTTCTTTAAAATAATTTTTGCAAGATTTTCGCGGACTTTTCTATAAAATTTGTTTCATAAAAACATTCCCACTGTAATACCGATAACTGAAAAAAAATTTGAGTCAAATCTGTCCAGCCGTTCTCAATTGATGAGTTAGTATACATTTTTGGCACCATTTTTATATATATAAGATATACATTATATATACAGATTTCTCTTGTTCAGCGACTTGATGGATAATATTTTTGTTCTTTATAGCATCCATCTTAAACAACATCTTGTGGGAAAAATGGGTAAAAACTAAAAATAAGTAAGATTTTATCCCTAAAATGATTTTTTAAGATTTTTGACGTTTAGGCTGATT